CATTCATAATTCATTCCTGATCATGTGTTCAGAGTGAGTTATTAGAAGCTGCACACCACAGACAGGTGCTCTTCTCCCCTGATACTGCTCAGAATCATTTAACAATCCTGTCTCAAGCTAGTTGGGAGAAAAGAAATAGATCACCCTCAGAGATTTGTCAGCCTCTCCCTTTGCAACTACTAACAGAAGTATTTTAAAAGTGTTTCTTAATCCTTATTGTTTTATAGAGAAATTCAGGAAATTTCTACCCTTCCCTGAAAGTCTGGGTGAAAGGCAAAGGAAGACGGCATTTTGTTTGAACTACAGCTGTTGAAGGATCAGGACATTTTTGATAGAAGTTTCATCATCTCCTTATACTGATCTATTCAAGTGAGATTTGGTTTTAGTGACAAAAATATTCTAATCACTACCTCATAACTCTCCTGGTCCTGTTGAACCAACAAACCACAGGAGCTAAGCAGATGTCATCTTAGCTTGTATGAGTAAGGCCTATGATCAGCATGAGATTTGCTGCTTCTCCATAGGTGAACTCATGACTTGCCAACACTGAAGTGGGAGATGAGAACACTCTCACCTTTGCTATTAGTGCTGTCGGGCTTCCAGAAAGTATATTATGATTAGTGAGATCCAGTATGTTGGCGTTGTGTTTTGTTTGTTTGTTTTGCTGGGGGAGAAAATGGAGGGGAGTCAGGGAGCAGGTGGGGAGAATAATAACAAAATCCCAAGCCTAGTGGTTTTTCAGGCAGTCTATGACCAGTAAATGCTGTATGTCTTGCAGGAACAAGCTAGGCTCAGAAAAATTTCAGGTCAGTGCTGGCAACCCATGAGTTGGTTGTCTACAAACCATCAGTAACTCCAGTATACCCAGAGCCTTATGCTTTTTGCTAGCCTGCATAAACCCCCATGATTTCCATTCACAAGGCATCTCTTAAGATACTTTACTCACTTTCTTTTACAGTAGTCCATCTGCTTGAGGTTTGTCTCTGAAAACTATTACACCTGCCTGAAGTGGCCAACATTTTCTACTTGTGATTGCAATCACAAAGCTTTGCCTAGTTTTTATTTAATCTGGAAGCTGTACTTCAACCAACCTTCAATGAAAACTTAGTCTATGTATCACCAGAATGTTAACAAAAGAGATCTAACAATCTTTTTGCTGCAGTTCAGCTGAAGTATGGGTTAAATGAAAGCTGCTTTAAAATATTTAGCTGTATAACCACTTTGTTATCTGTCAAGACTGATTTTTCCAGGCTTTCTTAGAGATACAGACCCTGATTCAAACAAATGACTCATTCTGAATGTGCAAGTAATTCTGCTGAATTGTTGAAAGAAATATTGAATCTGTATGACTGATCGAATGACTAAATGGAGGCACATGATACTAGCAACCAGATAATGCGGTGGAAGTGAGCAAGAGCTAGGACTCTGTCAAAAAGCAAGCTCTGTAATATTCCATTAAGAATCCTAATGTAAGATGTTTCAAGATCCTTTGAGCAATGATTATGAAATTGAAATTATTTACAAAGGGAAAAAAACAGTTCTGCTTTTGTAGGTGTGATGAAGTATACGAAGGCACACTCAGATGTAACCACCAAGCTCTTCTGTGAAGGGGGAAATGATTATCTTGGCTGTCTTCTTTCAGTGAGATGATAAGGCAATCAATAGAGAAGCTCACATCAGCAAACATACTGGTTCACTCACAAGACTATTCAGATTCATGTTTCTTGGCCGAGACAAATGGAAGAAGTAGGCTTGCAGACAGACAAAGCTTGCTCCGGAGTCAAAGTCCACTAGCAGCTCATGGATGAAATGGTTATATAATGCCAAAAAATATATGACAGCTTGCAAAAAAATTTTGGAATGCTTAGTGGCACACAGACATGAAACAGCGTGTTAAAAAGAATGTGCAGTCATCTGTGGAAAATATGCTTAAGTTATTCGGTGTTGACATTGCAATAAATAAATTAGAAGCAGGTCTCTCAAATGTTAGTCCTAGCAGGCAGCCATGTGCTTTGACAAGGTAGTTACTGGGATAAGAAAGACTGCATCAGAACTGGAAGTATGGTATGTACAGTATTTCTCAGTGACCACATGGCCAGCCAGCTGGTCACCAGTGAAAGGTTGGAATGGTTCTTCACAAGCAAATTTTCCAGTTTCATCTTGGATAGATTAAATCTTGTGATTTAATAGGAACATTGTCACAGAAGAGATGTGAATTTATTTTGTAAGCTTCCTTGCTACTCCCTAGTCTGACTGGTAGTGAGAACTATATGGAGACAGTATGGTGGGAGTAAGAAAGATTTCATATTGCTCAGCAACAACTCAAAGGGAAATTCTTAACAAGCATAGAGTCCTGATCCAAAAACCCCAAGACTTGTGCAGGTAGGTAGGTATACGGGACACTGTAAATGTGACAGTAATCCTCATGTCTCTTTGAGGGACTGCAGAAGTGTTCATTTGGTAGGGACCTCCAAATGTCATTCCCCTGTCCCAAAACAGTGTTTGATCATTCCTGAAAGACAGCTATGCTGACTGTTATTAAAGACCTCTAATTGTGAATATTGTAGAAATCCTGCAGGAAATGTATCCCACATTTTATCTGTTGTTTTCTTTTTTTTTTCTAATGCCTAACCTAAATCATCTTTGTTACATCTCATGCTTACTCATTTTTGTCATACCAATCACAGACAGCTAAGCATTTAGAAATTTGCAGATGTTTTCCTTCTTTTGTAAGCTAATAACCACTAAACATTCAAATGTTCTATGAGTCCTAGACTCCTGTTTTCATATGCTCATGCTTTTGCTGCATAAATTCAATATAGTTATTAATCTCATTTTCAGATGATGCCACACACTTTTTTGCTGACAGTTCTGTCAAATGCCCTAGAATTAAAGAAACTGAGAAAGCCAGGTAACAATTCACACCGGAACATAAACTAACATGACAAATGAAACCAGGGAACTTGCCTATTACTATTTTTTTCAGTCTTTTTCTGTTAGGCACTACATAACCTTTTGTAGGACTTTCCATACTTTCTGTTTTAAACTGAAAAGGAGAGTTTTGTAGCAATGACTGGTGGTAGTGTCATGCATTAGGATATTCAGGATCTCACCTCACCACCTTTGTTCTGGATGCTATTTTATCTCCTGAGAAAATCACACGTCCTTCCTCTCTAACTTGCTGCCAGTCTTTTTCCCCTTCTTGTTACAGCTTCTGCACCGTGGCTTCCCCAAAGGTGGCTCAATTCACGTGCTCACACTTATACAGACTCTCTCAAACATACTTTTAGAGTGGTGCTAGAAGCCTTTCATAGAGTAGGAGACACATTTCTGTAGGCTTTCATGGTCCACCCTCAGTGCAGTTTCATTCACCAAACTCAGCTGTGCACTAGGACCCAAGGAATAAAATTGTTATGGGCATGAAGCAGAGGGTACTTGGTGGTCTCCAGCTCCATTACAAAGAATGTGCCCTGCTTAAATAGTTTTTTGCAAGAGGAAGCACTCTTAATATGTGGAGGTATTAAGTGCAAAACTTCACAAGGAAACACCAGAAATACGCAGCAAGGCTTTGTCCTGAATACAGAACTCCCTAACCTAACATACAAGGCCAACTTTTCTCCTGTGATTTTTAAGCCAATGTATTTGGAGTGAGTTCCAGATCATGTTTGTATTCAGACAATAATGCTTCTGCTGCAAGACAAACTAAAATAAGCAGCTGTCAAATCTCTAGTGGCTTAAAATGTGGGTAGGCTGGCTACATAACCACCCTTGGCCAGTGTATGAAATCTATCTGCACATCCTCCATTTCTCCGAATCAGCACTCACCAATAGCTGGTAGGGTGTGACAGTCAAGATGGTGGCTGCTCCTATGTAGGACTAGGGAAGATCCAGAAGGCATCAGCCCCCAAAGGTGAGCAGTTTGGGTCTGCAGTGGCTGCAGTGGTGTCCTTAATCCAATTTCTCTCCAAAAGCAATACTGTAGCAAAAGTAATTGTGATAGAACTCCTCTTTGGAGACGCAGACCAACTTTTTTGTATTTGACAATGGATTTTTGAAACCTCATTTTCTAACCTCTCCGTGACAGATGTTCCAAAGATCTTTGAATTCCGGGAGCAGCTGAGTGCTTACCCTCTGACAGTTGAGCTGAGCACCTCAGAAATGAGGCACTCAAAATAACACTCCGAAAAATTAGAAGCCCTGGGATCCCTTTGGTGTCACTAAATGTAGAGCTCAGGATTTCCTGCTTTTACTGCCGCTCATATATGTGGATGTCACAGATGGTGTAGTCCCTGAAAAGCCAGGCTTCTTAACAAGGTGGCTAAAAATGAGGTGTAAAAACCCCAGGCATTTTGATGACTGCTTCATTTTAGGTGATTTCGTATTACTCAGTGAAAACTTTTTTCATTAACTTTTTTGTTTTACAGATTGTGACCAACAGTGTATTGTAGACACTTTTCCTCCCACAGTAATTCGCTTAGCTTAAGCAGTATCTATCACTTTGTGCTTTTAAAGTATTATGGCCACAGTTCTTTCCTTAACACTGCAGTGTGTAGCAGAAAAGACCTAATAAGCTCCTAGATAGCCTAAGTATGTTAAAAAACATTGACATCATTTGTTCCTTTGTTCTACAAAACCTAAATACCAAATATCTAAATTATCTGGTCCTATCACTTTATTCATTTGTTATAAAACTTTAAGAATCTCCAACAACTATTACAGCATATGAGAAAATATTTGGGAAAGTAAAAAATGTTTTCATTCCCAATTTGGCAGAGTCTGTTGCACAGATTAATTTGTGCAAGGATAATGCACTGGATGGTAGCATCCTCATTCATACAAAATCTCCACTGACAACAATATTTGCCAGTACTCAGTTTTGACTGGCTGTAAGCTATTTTAGATATACAAATTAGTGACAAAATAACTTAGAAAACTGTGTTGGTAGTTTTTTTGAGGCAACTTCTGAAACAGTTTTTGTCGTATATCCTGTCTTGTTTTAGACCACCAAGACTGAAGGTATTGGACCCAGTGAGTGCTGACTGTTTTTTATCTAGAGTAAGTTCTCAGTAAGGTGTTATGTTGCCTGCAACACAGGATCGAGGAATGGTAATGTATATATTCATGGTAGTGCTCCAAAATATAGAATACTTCCCCAGTGCTAGTCCCCACAAGCAGCTGAAGAGTTTCAGAATTCACTTGCTGTGGCAGAGTGGCTACAAATTTCCACTTAATAATAAAATCCTAAGTGTATATGAAGATGTGTGTCACTGATGGTAGAATAAAAAGAATCTTTTTGTATATATATATATGTATAGAATAAGATTAAGATATAAATTCTGAACACATATATATTTGCATACATACTAGTTACACTATACTCTATTACAATACTACATGGTATACATGTTACATACTATGTCCGGCTTAACATTTATAATATACATACAATAATACATCCTACTAATATATAACTTATATAAAACCTATAATATGCCAAATTACACATAGAAAAATGTTAAATATACGCACATGTTTATATATTAGGTATGTAATACTTGTCTCAAGGACTGTGGAGACACCTGGCTATAAATGTAATATTTAGGGAAAGCTATTTTTTTTCTCAGTAGTGAGCACCTTAGTCTGTTTTAACTATCCTAGAGTGTCTTTTTAATCTCTTTGAATGCTGTCTATAAGAATTATTGCTCCTATACATGAAAAATAAGAAAAATGTCCTTTTGCTGTGGAGTTTGATAACACTAGTTAGATTTCCTATTTTCCAGGATGAGTAACTCTTTAACATAGGCAGCATTTTTCATTTCAAAAATGCCTTCCAGAGCTTGAGTTTGCCTACATGAAAAGAATCACTTCGGCTTGGCTAACTCTACTTAGTTCTTTCTTTGACCATGAAGATATCTCTGTAATACTGTGGCAAATCATGTGCCTGTTCGGGACTTCAAGTAATTACAAGGCACACTGTGACCATAGAAAACCTCAGGAAGAGATAGGACAGTTCCAACCAAAACTTATGAGGGCACTGGCCATCCCATGAGCACTTATCATAATATTCACTATAGGGTAGTTCGTGCATGTTGTGGTTCCCATTCCCCTCACTGACAGCACTATCCTGATTTAAAGGGGAGGTATCATCCTTTCTTTCCCTGGTAAAATATTTTCTCCTACTGTGTATATTCACTGTACCCAATCTGGCCACACTAGTACATACTTACAGACAGACAAAACCTCTGTGCTTACATGCAGGAGAGCAATTGAAAAAAACCTGTCCTCATTGTTATGTTTTTAAGGCTAAATTAATGAGTCACTTATAGCAGCTGTGATACTAACCCTCTATCAGTTAACCCTCTCCAATAAACCAGGTTGATGTCAGCAACTGTGAAGGTCTTGCAGAGATTGGATTTCCAGGGATACTGCTGCAGGGCTGGTTGCACAGCATTGTCATCTTGCTCGCAGCAGTTCAAAAGTGTTCCTACAGCCCTTTGCAGGCAGCTACAATCCCATCTGGTGCTGGGCAGCTGCACTATCTCCCTCTGTTAACCCCTCTTAGTTGGGGCTGTAAAAGGCTCAGCACTACTGAGACAAGGAGACTTTCAAACATCTACAGTGAGGTGCATAAACAACAAGCAAATACAAAAAACAACCTCTCATGCAGTCAAGGTTAAAAGAAAGATGGAAGGAAAAGGAACCAAGGTAAGTCATAGCTTAAACCTAGAGGAAAATTGTTTTCTACATGAGATGAAAGCAATTTACAATATTTAAAAGGTTCACTAGCAATATTATGCAACTGTGTTTAGCTTGTGTCCTGCAGTACACTCAACATCTTGTGGGATAATAGGATCCTCTCATCTTTTATTGTTTGCTGTATTCTGGCTGTACCAAATACAGCACCATCTGTGCTGTATTTGCATTTCTCTAGTTTATTCTAGTGCACATAAAGGTATGATGTGAACTGTGGTTGAGGAGCCAACTTAGTTTCTGACTTCTATCCTCCGATATAAAGGAAATATCCTTCTTTTGAAGTAGCTTTATTTGAATATTATTCACCTACCTGCACTGCAAAGAACCTGAAATATTGCATAGCATTTAACAGTGTGAAGCTCTTTATGCCTTGAAAGTGCTGTTGAAGTGTTGGCATATAGGTATCAATCTCTGCAGCTGTTTTGTAAGGCAAACCAAATAGATACTATTCCATAGATGAGGTGATTGTGAGGCTGAAATGTTAGAGCCTCTGTTTCTCAAGTGTGTTGTTTTAACTTTGACTACACAACTGCCAGTATGGAGGCCTTAGACTGGGGCTAAATTAGTAGCTATCATTCAAAACGTGTCTTACTAACCAGACTTCCACAAGGATGGATAAGACTGTCAGATTCTGAGTGCTGAGCTGTTTTTAGGATACTGTGTCTGGTAGCCAAGATACAGTCCCCCAGAACTTGTGTTTGCAGAGATCAAAGCCATCCAGTAGAGAAATTCCAGCTCAGTCTTTCACCCATGCTCTTCTTTTTAACCTTGCAGTTCAGTGAGTCCCAACATGCAGCAAACGTGGAGGGTGGGGGTATAAAGGATGGGGGGGCAACTCTGTATATTTACATAGGCTCTCAGAGGTTTGTTCTTCTTGTGCAACTCTACTACACCAGTACCTCTAGAAATGGCCACTCTGGGTTACAGAATGGTGATAACTTTTCCACTACCCTTTCTAGTGACTTCAGTAGTTTGTCATGAGACTCTGAATTCCTTAACACTATGATTTCTTATCATATGTTTTAACAGGATCAGACTGACAGCTTATGAAAATCTGGCCTGTAAGGAGATTTGGGGTTGGAGACTCATTAAGTTTGAATCACCAGAAATCACTAATCACTTTTGGAATCCTCTAGAATTCTCTAGCAATTCTTCCCTATTGTTTCTTCTCTACAGTAGGCACAAAACTGCATTAAAAATTAAGGGAAAATGGGTGAAATGAACTGACATTGAACATGCATTGATTCCAAGAATGTAATTTTTCTCTGGGAACATCTGGATGAGTTTTATTTTCTCTTTTGAATGTGAGACAGCCTGCTGTCCCATGTCCTTTCTGTAGCATACCTTTCTTTGCTTAAAGAAGAGCTTGGGCAAACTATTACATACAAAAGTCTATTTAGAAATAAGGTCTTAAAAAAAAAAGGAGTGGTCTGGAATGCTGACTTGTTTGAATAAAGTAATTCACAGACTTGGGGGCGGTAAGGTAAATACAGTCAGCTACAGGAAACAAATGGGGAGAGGGTCCTTTGTGTAAAGTCAACAGAGGAGAAAGCTGGAACTTGCATTCAAGCAAGATATTCTGTTAGCTGGCAAGGATGGAAAATAGCATTCACCCGAGAGGGGTTGTTTTCACCTGTTCCTTTTCTGATTCTTGAGTGGTTTGTGGCAATTTTGTGTTGCCACAGGACTGCTTAGGGCATGGACAATGTGTGAGTGAACGTCAAGAAGAGCACAAGAAACTACTTCCCAGGCAGAAAATGTTAAGGATTATTTTAATGCATAGAACTAGTTGGGTAATTAAAAGGTGCCAAAATCAAAGTTTGTGATATTTAAAAAAAAATTTGTTTATTTCTCCATCAGAGCTTGAAGTATTTTTATATTTAACTTGCAGTATAACCTCAGTGAGGAGGAAGAGGAAGCTTCCCTTTGTGACGTCTTCCTTGAATGCCCTGTGCTTTGAGAAAGGTGCACAATTTTCCAGAAAGGTGGAAAAGCCCTTTTCTCATCTTCATGTATTAGGTGCAAACAACTTCCATAAACACCTTACTTGCAACCTGGCAACATAAATGCTCCTCCAACCTCAGGGTAATTCAGAACACACCAATTTGAGTGCAGTAAATTGTTTCCTGCATAAAGCTGTCCCTTCTGGATTGTACAGGAAAATTATCTTGGGTACTGACTGGAGTCCGTGGAAATGAATGCACTCCTATTGCCAACTCCTTTGCCTCAGAAACAATAACCCAGCATATCTTTTCCCCCATTCCCCTATGTTTCATTAAACAATTCAGGAAGCTGCCCTGTTGAGGGGAACCTTGATACACAGAGAAATTGCAGTGTGGTAGGAGTCCATTTATGCACTTTCTTCCAGTGAGCAGTAAAGCTGGTTTTTGATGTGAACTGTTGTGCTAGGTATGTGATGACCAAGTTCTTCATGACACAGCCTCTCTGAGAGCTGAAGATTTGCAACAGAAAAATTAGCTTATTCTTAATTTGGCCTTGTGGGCTGAGAAATTTGCATTTTACAGACCTTTTGTCTCAATGCAGGTGTTTACATAGTACTAGGATTTTTTTCCCCCTCTTCAAAATAGTCACAAAAGTTGGGGCGGGAGGAATTGCCAATCGTATTTTAAAGGAGCAGTAGCCATGGTAACTGTGGTACCTTCAGTTACCAAGGTAACAGATGCAGCTCGACTGCCTTGCTGTAAAGCCAGACAAATCTACCCATGATCTGTTGATTTTAAAATGCTTTATAAATTGTTGAGCTATTTTAGGCACTTAAATCCATAAATCAAAATGTCTGTTAAAATGACCAATGCACTCTACTATTTATGAATTATTCACCCCATTTTTATTTCCCCTTATCAATGTATCTAGGCTTTTCCTGCTCCTAGTTTTTCTTATTTATTGTTTAGAAAATGTTTTTTTCTATCTGAAACATATTATTCATATTATTGCTGGTTTTAAGTCTTATTCATTGGAGAAATCCTAGTCCCCTCCCAATACCCCCTGCCCCAGTCCTGCAGTCTCTAAATGGAGTTTTCTGTACTTCTGTCCTGAAACCACAAAATATGTTTTGCTAAAAATTTGCTAGTGAATTAAATCAATACAATGTGGAATGAGTTCCATCTCAAACAATCAATGCAGGCCCAGTGATGTAGAACAGGCAGGCAGGTAAGTTGGTATAAATAAATTTACAATAGATTTTACTTTTAAAAACAAATTAGGACATTTTTAGTCTTACCCAATAAGATTAACTGTTACTTACTCAAACCAGCATATACATAGGCTTGCCTTCTCTAATACTAGTAGTGAACTTGTTACTACTTACAGCTCAGTAACTTTTATTCCTGGGATAATATGCATAATTTCTTGGCCTAAAAGCATGGTTTGCCTATTATTAAACCAGGTGATGTTTATTCAGAATTTCCCCTTATGAGCTTGGTTTTGATAATTATTTGTGGTAGCCTCTGCTTGTTAATGAGCACTGAAGGATTGCATAATTCAGTGTAAGTTATGCAATAGGCTAACACACTTGTGTTCTGATATGCATGTGCAGTGAAGGCCAGGACCTGTCCTTTAGACCCTGTCTCTGGTGTCATTGCTAGCTTGGGTGGATGCACCAGCACTGCATGCCTTTGCTTTCCTCTCCCCCTTCTGTACTCTCCACTCTGCAGACTTTGCCACTGGCCTATGTGCACAAGGAGAAGTATAGGAGAACACAATTTTGTTGAAGTGGAGCAGAATGCTGAGACTCTGAGCTGCTTGACTCTGGAAGGAGGATGTGCTGGGATATGCAGTCCAAGGTCATCAGAGCTGCATGAGCATAGACAGCTTGGGTCTGGAAGGAACGTAGCCATGACACTGTGTACAAATCTCTATGATCTGCCATTCCTAATCTTCTAATTTTGAGGTATTTCCCCTGCACAGATGACTCATTCAGGAACATGCAGTGGGGATAGCACTAGTAGGCAAGCAAAATCTAGCTCTTTGGGTATATGAAGTGCCTGCTGCATTCATTTCTTGTGTTTATAGCTGTGTTGTTTCAATAGTTCCAAATCTTACAGTCTAAAACCAAGTAAAATTCTGAATTGCTGAAAAGGGGAGTTGTAGAAGGTTCCCTCAGATCTGTTTATTTTGATGAGTGGTGTCAGCAATGCCGTAAGACTGGCAAGACTAAGAACCTGCCATGAAAATCCCATAAATATTTAGGCAGATGTCATGGGATTTAACAGAGCCATTGGATTTTGAAGGTGCTTGGCTTATTTTCTCTGACCAACATGTGCTTGCTCATGAGCATGTTATTACAGTCCTCTTGGTATTCTTGTGTAATGACCACTAGCATGAGTCATTCTTGCTCAGAAAATCCTATTCATTCTTCATGTGCATCAACTCCCATTAGATGAGCAAATCTGGTAATAGGTGTTGCTTTAATCCTAGCTTTTTGCCATCTCAGATGAGACATCATTCTTAGAAATCTTGGAAGTGAGAAACTCCAAAGGGTATATCCTGTACATCCTGCTGCAGCCAGGAGGCCTTTCCAGGGTTATTCAGGGGATTGTAACAGTTGAGCCTTATCATGCTCTTTCATCCCATTATTTATATTTACAAGATGTTGGGGTTTTTTTGCTTAGCTTTTCCCTCCAAGGTCAAAGTGCCTATCAGATCGTTGCAAACTACTTTTTAACCTCTTTAGTCAGTTTCTTATCAGAAATGGATATATTGACTTGGTTCAATCTGTCATCTTAATTTCAGTTATTCCAGGTTGCAAAAGTATCTTTTGGTTTTAGTGATGGTTGCCTAAAAAATAAGGATGGGGAATGCTAGGATCTTTTCAAAGCTCAGTTTAGATTGGAACATTTTTAATTTGAATATTAACACTTTCGCTGGTGTTCAGTTGAAGCTTAGATGTTATTGTTATTGAGAATTTCTTATCATGCACAGACATG